GCCAGTGTATGCCACTTGCCACATGGTTATATAATAGTATATCTTAGTACAACATACATGGTTGTATGCCAGTGTATGCCAGTGTACCCCACATGGTTGTATGCCACTGCATACCAACCTAACAGTTATTTAAAGGAAAGCTTTTCCCCTTACCCCAACAGACAATTAGACAATTAGATAATAGATAGTGGAGTAGATAATGAATAGAAACTATTAAATACTCTTTGGAATATTGTTCTCTAAATATTCCTACAATATTCCCTTCGTTCTAATGACCTTGTAATGTCTTTATTGTCTCTAAATAAGTAAATAAATACTTCTGCTTAAACCTTCTCTCTTGCTCTTCTTAAATACCTTTATTAGTACCGCTGTAACAGTATAAGTAATTATCAGGGAAAGTTTTTGAACAAATATGATTTTGCTTTGTTTTCTATTTATCATTTAATGTTTTTTTTTTAATATTTTTTTCTATTTTTTTTCTCCACTACTGCTATATTTCATTTGCCTTTCTTGTATATAAAATTTTCTACTAATCTTTCAAAACATCAATTAATTTATAAGACTAACAAATAAGGACTGTATTAATGTTTGTCTTGTATTGCTAGTTTGTATACTGCATTTAAATTAGCAATATAATTATATCTGATACTTTTTCTCTCTATACTAATCTATCTTTCTAATTATATTAAGATATATAATAATTTTAACTTCTTTATCTTCTTCTTTTGTTCTGCACTATATTGCAAACTCTTTTTTTTAGTAGGTTATATTTTGCTACAACAAGAATGCTTTTACCTATGTTATTCCAAAGTTTAGTGTTTCAAACCATAAGGTTTTTATCAGCTGGCTTAGCCAGCTATCAAAAAAATTGACTAACTGGCTAATAACTAAAGCCAAATTTTTTATCTTCAGAAATTATTAAATATTTATTTAAATACTTATATTTTATGTTTAAACATTTTCTTTTTGAAACCTATTACTTAATTCTGCCTGGCATTATTATTTCAGCCTAAATTATACTATTAAAATCTTGTGATCATAAGCTGTATTAGCTAGCTGATACTGATACATTTTTATCAGCTAGCTTAGGCCGCCTATCTCAATGAGTTAACTGAATGATTTGATTGGCCGAAAAAATTAATAGTGGTTATCATTTCGGTCAAAAAAACCTGGAGCTGCGACCACCAATTTTTTTCATAGAGCTGCGCTGATTGGTTAAAATTTATCATTGACAGAGTAATCAGAGATTGCTCAAGCTCAAATACATTGTTATTTCTTTTTTTTTTGTAACATAGATCTCAACAAGACCAAAAATTATTCTACTCTTATAACAAATAAAAGATGTTTAATATTCAAAGAATAAAAAATTATTTTTTTTATATGTCGTATATATTTTATTAAAATAACATTCATGCTTCACTATGTTTTGATATCACTTCGTTTAACATTAACGAATCTATATAAAGTTGCATTGTCGAATATGATTGTGGCCGTAATGACTTGTAGCCAAATAAGTTATTTGTGAAATTGTTAAGAGGATGATTGAAGGCAAATTTCAAACACCAAAGTCTTGGATGCTAAATTTTTAGGTAACTGAGTAATCGCCTTTTTGGAAATTGGAGAAAGAGATAGCTCAAGCACCGATCGCAATCTTTATTTCAATTGATCGTAGCGTTTGAGCATCACCTCGATCACTAGCTAATTACATTGAGGGAGGCGCTTGAGAACGGCCTTAGCCGGCTAAGCTGCCTTAGCCATGGCTGCTTTAGCCAGCTTGAAAGGCTTAATTAATTATGCCCGAAAATCACCAAATTTTGGCGAATTTTACTAATAAACCCGCTAACCGATATACTAAGTAAAGTTGCTCAGTTCGTAATTTTGCTATAATATTAGTTGGCTCGTATTAGGCTTGTATTAGTGCTTCGCAAGTCTGATCCGAAGTCCGAATCTGAATCGTCGGTCAAATTCCGGAAGTTCTGGTTACACGAAATGGTAAAATTTTTTGCAACCAAAATTCAGCAGATCGACCAAAATTTAGGATCGGAATAGGCCGGAATTGATCAATTTCCCCAAAATTAATGAAATGGTAGCTTACGTACTAAGTTAGCTTGTATTATTTCTTAATGCAGACCTAGCTCCGGGCCTATTCCGACCCTAAGTTTTGGTCGATCTGCTGAATTTTGGTTGCTCCACTAATCTATCCTTTTTACAGCCATCAAAAATTCCGCTTTTTTTTGCAAACCCTATTCAGAGTTCTCATGAAACGTGACAAAAAATATAAATCCTATCATTATCTACGTAACGGATTTTACTAATTTACAGCGCAGGTTTCACCTAACTTAATATTTACTACCGGAGAGAAAGTGACGGATCCGGTTTTCGGATCGGATATTCGTCCGATCCAGCCTGTACAGAATGTTCATAATTATCGCAGCTGATGGACCTATTTTGATATGAATTTTTAAAAATTTTTTGAAATTTTTTTTTTTCGCTTTTTTTTAAGGTTGGGTTAGGATTTGTGCTAGAATTTATAATTTATATTTTAAATCGAGGCCCCAAATTCCAGCATCAGCATCAGCCGTGACAATAATTACCATGGTAATTTACGTGATAAGTCATCCTGGGTTTAACCTGTGCTCTGAACCTTTTATTTCCTGAGTAAACCCGTTCCATGGAAAAGACATAATGGACATACAGTTAGAGTTGTTATCAAAGCGCTTCAAGATGTAATTGATAATAAACATTCACTTTACTAACAACTCTATTAACAACTATATTCTGAAGCACCCCATTAACAACCATACATGCAATATTATTTTATAATATTAATTGTTTCACAAAGTAGTTTAGTAAATAGCCTTTTAAAATTGAAAATTTGTAAAAATACAGAATATAGATACCAAATAAACCACATATAAGTACAAGGTTAAACAACTTTCATTAAACAGTTTGACCATTTGGGTTTATCTTGTTTTCAATCTCTAACATCTGGGTAAATGTAACGGTTTGTGGATTTAAAAATGGAATATCTGAAAAAAAAAAAATAGTCAGAAAATTTACTAATCATTTGTATATAAATATGATCGTAAACGGTTGCTTACTTAAATCATACTCTTGTTCATTACTGGTATTATGTGCAGGTGCTGTAGGAAGAAAGTTTTTTGGAATCAAAAGCCCAGAGTCTCTTTGCAAAATATTATTACGAACCCATTCTTGAGAGGAATCAATTTGGCTTGAAATATTTGATTGTAAGTTATCTAAACTATTACAAAAAATACAACGCTTTCAATAAACATACCTTCGAATCTGACTTTCTGTCGGTACAGCAACCTGCTTACGTGTCACAGAAAAAAATTGATGTGTAGCCTTTGTTATTGCCAACCACTCTTCATCATAACTGAATTCCAGAGGTCCATTTGCTTCAGGAAAATCTAAGACCTACTTAATATTGAATAAAATATAATAAATAAACAATATATATATAATATACTGGCAAAGATAGCAAAATATAGACCTGTAAAAATTCGCGACCAGGTAAGCATTTGTCGAGTGATAAAAAACGAGTATATGAAGTTTGTGTATTTGAAGAAATTGCAGAAGCCACAAATTCTTTAAGGTTTTCCAAGTCTTGTGTCAAATCTACTGCCGCATCATTCGTGATTGATATTTCCTCGGAATTAATGATTTGTGTCTCGTCACTCTCAATAACATTTGTGTTATCGACGTCATCGATGAAAGAAGGTAATTCATCCGGGTCATCTACTTCATTCTGATTAATATTAATAGCAGTTTCATCAAGAGAAATAGGTATCTCATCTGGATTTGGAGCTGTTACCATTTGTGGAGCATCATGAGGTATCATTGCAGCAAATTTGACGTGAAGATGCGCAGCAAACCAGTACCTTGGTTTTAATTTATAAAGCAGCAATTCGGTATACGGATTTCCAAGCCTAATCCTTTCAATCTATAAAAGAACATGTCATTATCAATTATTGATCGATAAAATACATTTTAAATTTTTAAGTGGCTATTAATCTCTTCCACTTACATCGGGTGCAAGACCTTGCTTTATTTGTTTAAGCCTGTTTTCATCTCCAAATTTCGTTATATTTTCAGGCCAATCATGGGAAAGGAATATATCTATAGGTTGTCTAATCTGTTTGCATCCACCTGAAGTAAGTATGGATTATTAAAGAAGTGAAATACGAACAATAAATCTACATACCATGTTAAGTTTGAACATTTCAAATCGTCTTACATGGTAAATAGATCTAATAGTGTCGTCTGTATATGGAAAAGTTTCAAAATGACCTATAATCAAAATTCTATATTTAATTTATAAATCACAAGTGAATGATTTCACACAATTTTTATATAACACACCCAGCCCATAGTCTCTTTGTTTGTATATTCCACTAAGTCCTCCTATACGAAGGCCCCCAAAATTCACAACTCCAGAACAACCGAGGTAGTAAATATTTTCACACACCCACCCACCATAATACCTATTTAAAAGATAAAGCAAATTTCAAAAATCATATTCTGATACAGTCATCACTCTCTAAACTGAAGTTCGGTTTAAGTACTAAGACATTGGATGCTATTTTTAAGCTCGGTATAGAGAGTTGACTGTACGTGGTTTTAAAAAAGCCAATTATGATGATGCTTACAATTCCCACAGGTAGTTGCTCGCTTCATGATTCCCACCAATAAAAATTGTTGGAATTGGAGCTTTAATTTCACCAGAATAATATTTATAAAATGTGCCCAGTTCTTTGTAGTGATCGGGCATACTGGTAGATTCTAAATCTGCCCTATTTCGTATAGTCTAGACAAGTTTTTTGTTTTTTTGAACGCTAGCGCGTAAATAATTTATTAATATGCTAAACTTTTCAAACCTGAACATCTCCGCATATTAATAATAAATCAATTTTGATATTTTTTTCTTTCTCTATGTAATCAATAGTTTTATAAATCAACTCCAATTGGTTGTGACAGCAACCTTCTATAGCGATCTAAAGAAAGTATATATTTATGGATGTCCTTTCGGTATTACTCGAAGAAAAAGTTTCCGTACCTTCATTTTTTCTCGCTAAGGGTACGGTGAACAAACACTTCCACCCATAATGTCACTTTATCAGAGAATTTTGTGACACTTAATTTGGAGCCAATAATGATAAATTATATTATATAGATCATCGAACTTGAAGCCAAGTATTTATACAGGATAGTACGTAGTTTAAAGCCGGAACTTAAGAGGTCGGCTAAAGCCTCGTGGATAATTCTACGACATCAACATCCCGAGGAAAAAATACTATTCCTGATGGATCGGCAATACGGAGTTAAAAAAAAATTTATTTGAGTACTGTTCCTGATAGGGTCCTAAAAATGAACCCAAATTCTAACTTTTTTCATAGTATTTAGAGGCCCTTTTTTGGAACCCTATCAGGAATGGTATGTAAATCGAATTTTTTTTCCCACCTATCCGAAAATTTTAGGTGGCGTTCCCACAAAAAATTGTTAAGATCAGGTGTCAATACAAACGTGTTTTGTTTTCTAAGTAAACCTGGGTTATAATTAGGGTTAGGATTAGAGCAGTATAATATCTATTAGAAACATCACGAGGAACATTTTTAATTAGGTCGCAGAAGGTGGTTTCCTAAAATTAGATTTCTTAAAAAAATGGGTTCGTTTCGGGAAATCGATTTTCACGTTACACCTGATCCTGCAATGAATGATAACTCTATAACTTGCTTTATCTGGTTAGGATTTAAGAAAAACATAAAGAAACAAACCCGCAGTCCGAACCACCTCGGAGCATTAATTAAAAACGTTAAGGAGTTGAGGAGACAATTTTATTTACATAAACACCGCTAACCCTAATCTAAAGTAGCCCTAAATTAAAGTTAATTAAATTATATACTAATTTATATAAGTTGCCCCACTTTAGACATTCCCAAAAAAGGCAAAAAACAATAGTAAATTCCCCCATTTGTTACTATTAGTTCTTATGCGGATCACGAATTACGTACGTACGTACAAGATATTTCATCAACCCATAATTCAATTTTTGTTGAAAACTATAGAAAAATTGTCAATAACAGGCAGTCTCGCGTAAGAAATTTTTTTAATAATATATTATTTCATAGTTTAGACAATTTTGATAAATTGTTAAGAGCTATCACATATATATATATATATATATATTCAAACATAAATATCGATATAGGTTTATTCATTGAATTTTGATATCATATATTTAGTATATTTACTATGGACCGACTTATTAAAACCGGTCTTAATTTATGGACTAGGAACCACTTGAACTGGTTCAAAAGACTGATTCAGATCATGATCTTTGCCAGACCGTAACATTCCTACTAATGACAATGAAATTTTACGAATTTTCTTTTTTAACCGATCCTATTAAGATTATTATTAGTAACGTTTATGTCACACCAACAGTACCTCAAAATGAAAAAAGAAATCATACTATCAATGTGTAGGCGCTTTTAACTTCCTCATCCGTAACCGTAAGCGCCTGATACTTCTTTGGATCGGTATCATCTCGCCATTTCTGTGGATTTGGAAGATCAGCGATTATCCATGGATGGTTCTAAAATCCATTAAATAATTCAGTTACGTTTATTATCAGGAAACCAAATCATTTTTAAGTCAATTTTACGTATATACTGACTTTGACTTCCCCTAGAGTGATTCTTTTCTGTGGATCTTTTTCCAATAACCTTGTAAGTAAATCTTTTAAACTGTCTGAAATAGGTATATCCTCGGGAAATTCCAATGGTTGCCTAGGTATAACATGAAAAAATAATTCAAATTCCGTATCTGCTATGAAAGGACATCTTCCGAAAATGAAGCAATATAGTGTAACACCAAGGGCCCAGACATCGATAGCTTTGGTAATAGGAGGTCGTTGTCCTCGTACTGATATAGAATTGGTAGTTGAATGGGATTTCAAAAGCGATTCAGAAGAATTACCAGAATTACCAGTTACTATCGAATTAGAAATTATCTCCCGTGACAAATCTCCTGAATAAATAAAAAGTTTAAAAACAAACCAAAAAAAAAAAAAAGTGCATTTTGTTTAAAAAAATTAGTAAGAACTTACCGGGAAAACACAGCTCGGGAGCAAAAAACGCGGGACTTCCGGCAGTTTTAATTAAGTCCATATCTTCTTGAGTAGGTGCAGAATTATTATTTCCTTGCAAATCGACTGCGGCAGCACGTTGACTAAAATGTGATACACCAAAATCCGAGATTTTTACAACATTATCGGCGGTAAGTAATAAGTTGGCAGGTTTTATATCTCGATGTATAATGCCTTGATGATGGACTGTAAAATGGTAATAATGTATTTAATAAGATTCAATAAAATAATTGTACTAAATTTATCTTGCTTATTACTCACGATATTCCAAACCCAACACTACATCTCTAAATATTCGTCTTGCTTCATCGACACTCATAACAGGGCGGTCGTTTTCATCTTTCCATTGTATTTCACCACCTTCCATATACTCGATAACTAAAATTTATACACCAATTTAAAGATAAAGCATTTAATCAAAAGGAAAAAAAAAAAAAAAGCAAATATTTATGAATTGAAAAAGGATGTGATAAACGCATGTCAACGATCCCAAAGTTTTACTACAAACCACTATGAATTCCTTCACGAAAGTGCTTCAAGACGATAAATAAACATACCCATATAAATTTTCCTACTCATCGGATCATCAATAACTTCTTTCAACCTAACAACATGTGGGTGGACACATTTTTTTAGTATTGCAATTTCTTTTCTAATTTTTTGTTCATTAGTGAGATCATTGTTCCGTGAGCCCAAACGACGACGTGTTACTCTATCAACAATTTTGATGGCCTTCGTTTAATGCACAATAATACGGGAAGAAGAATGAATAAGTAAAAATATCCAATTTATAATTAAGTATAACATAATTATACTCACAACCCACTCTCCCAACTCCATGTCTTTTCCTAATTTGACTTTTCCATGTACACCCCTGCCTAATTCTTTAATTAACATATATTTGTTAATCATTTTATTACCAGTGGTAGGATCATAGTCTTTAAGCATGGTATTTGTTTCTTTAACTTCTATTTTGGGAATCGTATGACTACGAAGAGATTTTCGATCTTTTTTCTTTTCATTATTATTGGTAGAAAGTTGTTGAGAAGAGGTTGAATGGTGTGATTGCAGTTCCAAAAGTGAAGAAAGAGATTTAGAAGAGGATTGAGACAATAAAAATTTTTTAGATTCTTTGGTGGGTGTACACATGGGTGTTGAAAATATTTTGCTCTTGGCGTAAATTTAAATGGCGAAAATAAATTTTGACAGGTCAATATCGCAAATAATTTATCGAAAATCCCGAAAATATTTCTGTATATCGGTGGATAACGTACCACTTAACGTTAATGCCAACATATTTTATATATAGGTTAGCTGTTGTGTAACATAATTAACCAATAAAAATTCAGGCAAACTTGGCAAACTTAATACAATTTTATAAAATTTAAATTTTTATTAATAAATTTAAATTTTGTTATATAAGCGCCAAATTTTAAACTATATAACTTTTAAGTAATATAAATCTTTAAAAGATATTTAAATAATTTTTTTTGTAGATTAATAGTTTAAACAAAAAAAAACTTTTTTTAGATTATTTTAAAAAGTTTAAGATTTTTACGTAATTAAAATTTGATTTTAGATTTCCCGTGATCATTAACCAATCAAAATACATAATTTTTATTTTATCGTAAACTACTAGAGAACTTCATATCAGATCTAAAGAAGTTTATAAACTGATGAATGTACACTAAAGAATTTATCATATATATCTAGAGAATAGATAGACACGCGTAAAGTAGGTAAATGTTATATTTATTACTAATAAACCCATTAAAGAGCTTTTACAATTGACAAGAACCCAGATCTTCTACTACTAAAGATCTTGTACCCATTCAAATTAAACATTTTAGCAATAAAAATTTAACGTAATAAAATAGCTTTAAACAAAACGCTTCTAGTTACAGTATAATTTGTATGATCCAATAAATGGTAGGTATATTTTGTTTTCCAAGCGAAGTTCTATCTTTTCTCTATTATTTTGTACCGTGAATATTCACGCTCTTGCGAAGATAACAGTAAAAAAAGTTCGTATTTTTTATTAGTGAAACGTCACGTTATCAAAATAAGTTATCCGAGCAATGGATTTATCCCAGCCAACCATCGAATGTCCTTCTATGGACCCTTGCTTGTCTTTTGTGTTCGCTCATCTTCTTTCGGATTATTTCTGAATTTTACATTTCACGGCCCTAGTAACGACTGCCATAAATCATTTCGACAGTCTCTAATATTTTTGACAGTTCGACAGACGAAAACAATTTCGCAGTATGCCATTTGTTCTAAGTAGAGTAGTAGTTCTTGTGAGTAATAGTAATAGATGTGATTGTTTTGAGATCGGATATTAAGATCTATTTAGATCAAATATTGAAAATAGGTTGCCTACTTGAAAAGTACAGATAAACTGTTTGAGCAGATGTTTGATAAATGATAGTGCAACTATTCAGATATTCGTTAGAACTAATAAATCGAACAGAATTCAGTTAAACTTGTTTGCAGAGAATGCGATGTAAACTCAGCAGCCTTTAGAACATTTCAACTTTTTTCATTTTCATATTTCAATATTAATGAGAATAGATCTCTGATTGCCTTGAGAACTTTGCGCCCTTATAATGAAATATTAACAACGGCAAAATTAAAATCAAAAGATGTTATAATAAACGAATATATTTCATGTCGAACTATTGCTTTTTTTTGCTCACGAAATTTTTTAGACGCAAATATCAATTTATAAATCCATTGTTGGTTGTTTTGCATGCGCTCAGTTAATATTAGAAGGCTTGTGTGTAAACCGATCGCCAGAAATGTTTGACGTGAAGTCAGTTCTATAAAGAGATGTGACTTGCCGATCTATCAGTGCTCGCATGATTAGATATCGATATTATGATGCTTGATTTGTGATTGGTTGTTAAATTAATGGTTATATTACATCATACATTATTGTTATATCGTTATCGTTATCGTTATCGTTATGGTTTGACGACTGGTTTGTTTAGACATGTTTAGGACACTTATGTCATTTGTATGCTATTATGCTCGTATTTTCGCTATTGAAAAATAAAAGGTAACGGTAATACAAGTGCCGACACTTTATAAAGGGAGAGGAGTTCACGATTGGTGCACAAGCCAGCATAGCGGGCTTTATCATGATTGGCTAATTTTTGAAGATCATCTCATCATAATAAAGTCTTATTAAAGTAACGA